AATTCGACCCTCCCGCTTGAAGAGTGCCCCAGGAGGCCCCAAGGAGCCCCGAAGAGGCCCCAGGAGGCCCCCGAGAGGCACCCAGGAGGCCCCAACGAGGCTTCAAAAGGCCACAAAACAGCCCCGAGGAGGCCCCACTACGGCCCCAAAACGGTCACTGAGAATATGCGAAACTGCCTTCACGACGTTCCCGACAGGCCAACCACGAGATCCAAACCAACACCCATGAGGCCTCTGACCCACCACCTAGGGCACCCGCCGCCCGTTCGCCGTCATCGTAGCACGCACCACTCTGTACTCAACAGCTTCAGTCTCCAGGACAACACCCTGAGTCAACAGCCCCCGTCTTCAAGGCAACACCATGTGCTCAACAAGCTCCCGCTGCAAGAGAGCACCCTTAAGGAATTCATTCAAATCCCGACCCGCCCGCCCGCCCGCCACCCGCCCGCCCGCCGCCCGCCTGGCCGCTCGCCCGCCTTCCGCGTAGCACGCGCCACCCTGCACTCAACAGCCTCCGCCTCCAAGACAACACCTAGCATTCAACAGCCCCCAGCGCTCCCGGGACTGCCCAGGTCCGCTCCCAAACGCGCCACGACACGCCAAGAGGGCCCTAAAGCTTGCCAAGACAGCCTCAAGAGGCCCCGGACACGCCGAAGATGGCCTCAGGACGGCCGACGACGCCGCCAAAACGCCCCAAGAGCGCCTCCAGAGGCCCCTCCACAGGGCCCCGCATTTTTGCGCTATCGCATGTTCCGCCTCCCCACTGTCCCGGACGGCGTCAGAGGCCGTTCAGATCGCTCCAAGACGGCCGGCTCCCAAGAAAGACCAGAGACGGCCCAGGAGGCTCCCCAGATAATTCAAAAGGGCTTCGAGAGCGCCCCAAGAGAGCCCCAAGAGCGACCCAAGAGGGCCCGAAGAGCGCGACATTTCAAGGTCTCCAGCCTGAGAGGCTCCTAGGACGCCCCCGGAGGCCATCAAGAGGCTCCCAAGAAGCCCCGTGAGGCTCCCAAGAGGCCCCTTGGAAACCCCAATGAGTTCCCAAGGGGCCCCAGGGAGGCCCCCTGCGGGCCCCCAAGAGACCTCGGTAAATCGTATTTCCCAGAGCTTTCCGGGAACATGATTCCTTGGGCTTCCGTCCACCGCCCCAACCATGTTTCAAATAGGCTTGCCGACAATGCCAACAAGGGCCCCTCGGTAAGCCCCCAGAGGCCCCCCTGCTAGGAGAGCCGAACAAATCATGTTCCCGGAAAGCTTCCCGGGAACATGATTCTCGGATTGCCGCCTTCTCCTCAAACCATGTTCCCTAAACGCCCGCCAGGATAATTAGCCTGGCGAAGGACCCAACCATATGCAGTTGTGAGTAATGCTGGTGTGAGTACCGTCTTCGGTGGATCTCCCTATGGGGCCACGAACCGTTTGAGGGGTGTGCCGAAATGGGTGTGGGGGCGGCATGCGAACGTTGCCACTGGGCCTTCGGTGAGCTCCTTATGGGGCCACGAAACGTGTGAGGGATGCACCGAAGTTGGTGTGGGGGCGGCATGCGAACGCAGCCACTGGGGCCTTCGGTGGAGCTCCCTGTGGGGCCACGAAACCCGTGTGTGAACCGAAGTTGGTGTGGGGGCGGCATGCGAACGCAGCCACTGGGGCCTTCGGTGGAGCTCCCTGTGGGGCCACGAAACGTGTGAGGGGTGTGCCGAAATTGGCGTGGGGGCGGCATGCGAACGCAGCCACTGGGGCCTTCGGTGGAGCTCCCTATGGTGCCACGAAACGTGTGAGGGGTGTGCCGAAATGGGTGTGGGGGCGCATGCGAACCCAGTCACTGGGGCCTTCAGTGGAAATCCCATGGGGCCACGAAACGTGTGAGGGGTGTGCCGAAATGGGTGGTGGGGAGGCATGCGGACCCTGCCACTGGGGCCTTCGGTGGAGCTCCCTATGGGGCCACGAAACGTGTGAGGGGTGTGCCGAAATGGTGGTGGGGGGCATGCGGACCCTGCCACACTGGGGCCTTCGGTGGAGGCATCCCTATGGGGCCACGAAACGTGTGAGGGGTGTGCCGAAATGGGTGGTGGGGAGGCATGCGAACCCTGCCACTGGGGCCTTCGGTGGAGCTCCCTATGGGGCCACGAAACGTGTGAGGGGTGTGCCGAAATGGGTGGTGGGGAGGCATGCGAACGCAGCCACTGGGGCCTTCGGTGGAGCTCCCTATGGGGCCACGAAACGTGTGAGGGGTGTGCCGAAATGGGGTGGGGGCATGCGAACCCTGCCACTGGGGCCTTCGGTGGAGCTCCCTATGGGGCCACGAAACGTGTGAGGGGTGTGCCTTGCGAAGCCACTGGGGCCTTCGGTGGAGCTCCCTATGGGGCCACGAAACGTGTGAGGGGTGTGCCGAAATCGGTGGTGATGATGATGATGATGATGATGATGATGATGATGATGATGATGATGATGATGATGATGATGATGATGATGATGATGATGATTGATGATGATGATGATGATGATGATGATGATGATGATGATGATGATGATGATGATGATGATGATGATGATGATGATGATGATGATGATGATGATGATGATGATGATGATGATGATGATGATGATGGGAGGAGGGAGGGGGGGGGGAGGAGGAGGAGGAGGTGAGGAACGCGGGGCGCCGTCTCTTCAAAACGAGGACCCAACACCACAGGATGGTTGGGAAAAACACGAGAGTCCCAAGCAGCGCTACCTGCCGTCACGCTCGGAAACGCGTCAGGTTCCGAAGCCTCCGGAGGCGCCCAACGACACCCCAACAAATCATGTTCCCAGGAAGTTTTACGGTCAGTGCCGCCGACGTTGAAGGAGGACGGTCCAGGACACCCAGAAATCTCCCAAACAGGCTTCCAAGAGGGCGCCGAGACAGCCCAGGGCCGCCCCCAGACGGCCCAATAAAGCCCCAACACAGACGAACAGGGCCGCAAGAGGCCCCCAGGAGGCCCCGAAACGAGGACATATCCGTCGAACGCGCCCAAGATGGCCCCCAGACGGCCCTCAAGGCTTCCAACACGGCCCAAAGGGACGCCAAAATCATTGATTGTCCTTCGATTTTCGATGGATTTCAGACACCCCACGAGGGCGCCGAGACGGCCCACGAGGGCGCCGAGACGGCCCAGGGACGCCCTGCCGCGGGCACGAGGTGGGGCCCGGGATGGGGCCCTCGCGCCGGGAGGCCCGGGGGCCCTGCCGTGGCGCTGGGGGCCTTGTAAAGTCGCCAGAAGACGGCCCTGGATTGCCAGAAATGGCGTTTCCAGACAACGAACACGACCAATGACCGCCCGAGATCACCCCAGAATTGGTCCCTGACTGTCCAAGAGGCTTCCAAGACGCCCCAAGAGGTCTCCAAGATGGCTCCCAAGGAGCCCCAGGAGGCACAACTAATTTGTTTTCCTTTGGTTTTTGATCGATTTTCGAGTTCTCGCCTTTTGAGTTTCCTGACGCCCCACGACGGCCCAAGAGGCTTCAATTTCCGCTCCAAGGCATCCCCAGAGGCCTCGAAGACGGTCTCAAGACAGCCCACGGGGGTCCCAAGACGGCGCCAGAGGCGTCCAAGGCGGAGCGAGAGGGCCCCAACACGGCCCCAAGATGGAGGGTTGACACGACCCGAAAATCCGAGTCTTCCATCCCGAGAGGCTCTCAGGAGGCCCCGAGAAGCCCCTAACAGGCTCCAAGAGGCCCCAACAAGCCCCCAGGGGGCCGACGCGTATCCAAGAGGCCTCCCACGAAGGCCCCAAGAGGCACAAATCCATGTCTTGCCGTAGGTGTTTGATTGATGTTAGAGTTTTCAGCCTTTGGGCGTCCTGACGCTCTAAGACGGCCCAAAAGGCCTCCAGGACCAATCCAAGATAGCCCACGAGGCGTCCAACAGGGCCCAAGACAGCCCGAGAGGGCAACAATACGGCCCCAAGGGGGGCCCAAGAGTGGTAAGACGAACCGAAAATCCTAGCCTTCCACCCCGAGAGGCTCTCAGGAAGCCCCAGAGGCCCCCAAATGGGACCCAAGAGGCCCTCAAGAAGCTCCCCAGAAGGCCGAAGAGGTTCCAAGAAGCAATGTTTTCCCATCGGTTTTTGATGGATTTAAAAGTTCCCAGCCTTTTGGCTTCCCGACGCTCCAAGACGGCCCAAGAGGCCCCCAAGACCGCAGAGGCTTCCAAGAGGGCCCCAAGACGGCCCACGAGGGCCCCAAGACGGTGCCCGAGGCGCCCAAAACGGCCCGAGAGGGCCCCAAGAGGGCCCCAAGAGAGCCCCAAGAAGGTGAACGCGAACCCAACAGCAGAGCCTTTCGCCCTAAGAGGCCCACAGGGGGCCCCAAGAGTCCCCAAGTGGCTCGACGAGGCCCCCAAAAGCCCCCCACCAGGCCCCAAAAGGCTCACAGGAGACGTACACGGGACCAATCAAAATTGCTTCAAGGAGGCCCCGGGAGGCTTCCGGATTGCCCCAATGTGGCCTCAAGCCCGGCCTCTACGCAGCCAAGACGGCCAATTGTCTGCTTCAGGCTGCAGAACATCACTTTCCGACTGCCCGGAGAACTCTGACGATGCCCCCAAGGGACCCCAAGAAGCCCCAAGATGCCCCCCGAGAAGCACCCAAGATGTGCCTGCAACAGCCAATTGAGGAAGCATGGAGGGCCCCCCAGAAGCCCTTCAGATGCCCCCACGAAGACCCAAGAGGTTTCCAAGAGGCCCTCAGGAGGCACGACTATGTCACGCGCCTGTGCTTGATAGCGCTGTCCAAGATCCTCAAGCGCGCCCCTAGCCTGGGCTAGAACCTGAGCGCGCGCGAAGCGCGCGCGATGGTTCTAGTAAATATATATATATATATATATATATATATATATTACAAATGTGTGTATATACATGTATGTATATATAGATATATATAGATTGCCGATGCGCGTTCGATGTTCCCGCCCCCCCCCTACCCGCTCTCCCCCCTGAAGTTGCCCCTCAGCCCCTGGGCGCCGAGGTGACCGTGGACGCGTCCATGTCGGACGCGAGCTGCGCCGTGCTGGCCTCCGACCTGTGGCCCATGATCTACAACAGGCCGCTCCCGTTCAGTGCTTCTGCGCGGTCGTCTCGCCTCGGGGATCAAGCACGCGTCATGGCGCCAACATCGCAGAGCGGATTTCGTTCGGAAACGGATAGGGTTGGCCCGGAGTGTCCTGGAGAATTTCGTGCCGGATTTCGAGGGTAATTTCGTGCCGATTTTTTTTGCCAAGAATGAAGGCCAAAAATAATCCACGCGAAATTCACGTCCTTCTTCGCTCGCCGCTTCGGGCAAACATCCGCGCAGAAGTCCACGCATAAATCCGTTGCAGCCAGCTTGTCTGCAAGGCCAGTGCAGTGATCAATGCTTCTCCGCGGTTGTCTCGCCTCGAGGATTCAAGCAGTGGCGAAACGTCCTGGTGTGCCTATAGGCCCACCAAACAATGTTCTAAGAACCTTTTGTTGCTTCCACGAAATGTTCTTAGAGCATTTCTGGCTGGGACCGTCTTGTTTTAACACATCGGGAACATGTTCTAAGAACGTCGTGTTTGTTTTTCGAACATATCTGGGTTCTAAGAAAATTTCGTGGTAGGCCTATAGAAATGCAGGGACGGTCGGTCCCTGCTCAAAGGATTAAACAAGTGCTAGGCCCACACACTGCTCTGCCCAGAGCGATCCGCGCCCAAGAACGCGAGGCAGGATTTCCAGCGGTGTGCAGTCGTCGCTCGTCGAAGGCGCACAGCGGGACACCCAGGGAGCACCGGCACTCTCTTCGGGGGCCTTGAGACGGGGGTCATGCAAACGGAGGAGGAGGAGCAGAAGGAGGAGGAGGAGGAGGAGAGGTTCGAGGCCTCTCGCGTCCCAAGCCCCGCCGACGAGGCCGTGCGGCGGCGCGCCGGCGCCGCGGCGGGGAAAGCGCGGCGGACCTCCGCAGGGGCAACGCTGCACGCCGGTCGTTGAAAGTAGGTATTTCTTCGGGGCTCAAGAGACGGGGGTCAATGCAAACGGGGGTCAGCCAGAGCGCCAGATCTTGCAAGATCCTGCAGGGCCAGGGTCGCATTGACCCGGGTTCGGGTGCAGGATCCTGCAGGATCTTGCAGGATCCTTCGCATTGACCCGGGTTCGGGTGCAGGATCTTGCAGGATGTTGTAGGATTCTGCAGGGCCTGACTGACCCGGGTCTGGATTGACCCGGGTCAGAAGATCCCCGATAAAGTGTGCGAGGCGGCTCGGGAGCTTCATTCTTAAAGTGTAGCCGCCCCAACTTGTCGCATGTGGCACTGCCAGACGCGCGCAGATACCTTGGGTCGGGGGTCCAGCGCAGGCCTGGCGGACTCGAAAGCTTGTGTCTGCGGCGTTCTTCCCAACCGTCCTGTGGTGTTGAGGCCTCGTTTTGCATCGGCAGCGCCCCTCCCTCCTCCCGCTGCCCCGTCCGCCTCCTTGTTTTCTTCATCCTTCTCATTGTCACCACCCTCGTCATCATCGGCATCTCACCATCGCTACCCATCGTTACCACGCCCTTGCTCAGCGACGTCATCGTCGTCATCGTCGGCACCGGCACCATCATATGCGTTTCACGTTTTCGTGGCCCGTTCTCGTGCGACGGGGTGCCTGCCTGCGGGTGGATGCCAAGAGGTGGGGGGCGGGGGGGGGGGGGCGGGGGAAGGCCGAGGGGCCGAAGGAGGGGACAGATTCGGTGGTCCGCCGAGCGGGGCGGAGGTTAAATCGGGCATGTCCCTCTTCAGGAGGGATATATACAGAAATAGTAGAAAAATAGTCTGGGGACGATTTTCGGAGTGTTCCTTTTTACATGTGGCTATGTTTTATTTTCCGTCCAAAGTCCGCCTGTAGGACGACATGCCCGACCTGAGGCAAAGGTGCTTGAGCACCTCCCTCCTCTCACCTCAGCCATGCTGGGATCATCCTGGAGGTGAGTGTGCTGGGGAGGACGGGCGCCAGGCCCCCTCTGAGGTAGGAGTCCAAGGACTGGCAGCTCCACCGAATGCCCCATTTTGACTAATTTTGTAAATGATTTGACTCTTTTTTTTTCGTCTTACATCCGCCTGTAGAGGACATGCCCGACCTAAACGTAGCGTCCTCCCGCCCATTCCGGGCGCACCTTTCGCACGGGCCGTGGCCCCACAGGAAGCGCTTCTGAAGGCCCCAATGGCAAAGTCCGCATGGCGTCCCCCCGCCCAGTTCGGCGCACACCTCACACGCTGTGGCCCCATGGGGAGCGACATCGAAGGCCCCAAAGGCAGGGCCCGCATTTCGCCACCGCACCTATTTCAGCACAGTCGTCACACGCTCCGTGGCCCCATAGGGAGCTCCGCCGAAGGCCCCAGTGGCAGGGCTCGCATGGCGCCACCACACTCATGTCGGCGCGCCCTTGGCACGCTTTGTGGCCCCATAAGGAGCTCCACCGAAGGCACCAATGGCAGGGTTCGCATGGCGCCACCGTGCTCATGTCGGCCCAGCCATCACACGTTTTGCAGCCCCATATGGAGCTCCGCCGAAGGCCCCAACGGCAGGGCTCGTACTGCGCCACCGCGCCACTTTCGGCACAGTCGTCACACGTCCCGTGGCCCCATAGGGAGCTCCGCCGAAGGTCCCATTGACAGGGTTCGCATGGCGCCACCGCGCCCACTTCGGCACACCCCTCACACGCGTCGAGGCCCGATAGGGAGCTCCACAGAAGACCACAGTGGCAGGGTTCGCATGGCGCCACCGCACCCATTTCGGCGCGCCCGTCGCACGTTGCGTGGCCCCATAAGGACCGCACTCATGTCGGCACACCCCTGACACGTTCCGTGGCACCATAGGGAGCTCCGCCGAATGCCCCAGTGGCAGGGTTCACATGGCGCCACCGTACTCATGGCGGCCCAGCCATCACACGAGCCGTGGCCCCATAGGGAGCTCCGCCGAAGGCCCTGGTGGCAGGGTTCGCATGGCGTTACCGCGCTCATGTCGGCACCCCCTTGACACGTTCCGTGGCCCCATGGGAAGCTCCTCCGAAGGCCCCAGTGGCAGGGCTCGCATGGCGCCACCGCGCGCATTTAGGGACTACTCCTCACGCAATACAGCGTTCCGTGGCCCCATGGGGAGCTCCACAGAGGGTCCCAGTGGCGCAGTCCGCATGCGTTTCCCCCGCACGGTGCAGCGTTTGTGGCCCGGTAAGGGGGTTTCACCGAAGACGATACCTACAATTGCGGTATTCACAATTGCACATTGTATGGTTGGGTCTTTCGCCAGGCGGATTAATTAATGTCTAGGATTCTAGGGATCGGATATCCTGGGAGGGCTCCTGGGCTGCATTTGCCTAACCCTTCTGTTGACGTGTGCTGGTGCCGCGCCGTGGGTGTCCACGTCTTGTGCATGTTCGGAACGTTCAGGGGGCGTCAGCCCGCTCCGACTAATAACATGAGCTGCGGGCCCAATAGGGAGGGGGCTCCCGCCTGAGACTTCTTTGCAATTCACTCACAAACGAGGCTCCCGCTTGAGGCTCCCTCCATACTCGAGCTTGAAGAGGCCAGACGTGACGACAGTCAGAAGGTTCTGATGATCCGCTCGGATTAGTAATAGGAGCTGCGGGCCCCATAGGGAGGGGGCGGCCCCCATAGGCAAGGGGTCCCGCCTGAGACTTCCTCGCAATTCACTCACAGACGAGGTTCCTGCCTGAGATGTTTTCCATACTCAAGCTTGACGAGGCCAAGTGTGGCGACACATAGAAGGTTCTGATGACCCGCTCGGATTAACAACATGAGATACGGTCCCCATAGGGAGGGGGCTCCCGCCTGAGATCACTTCGCAATTCACGCACGAACGAGGCTCCTGCCTAAGGCTTCATCATACTCAAGCTTGAAGAGGCCCAAAATGACGGCAGTTACCAGCTTCCGATGGCCCGCTCGGATGAACAACGTGAGCTGCGGGCCGCATAGAGGGGGGGCTCCCGCCTGAGACTTCCTCGCAATTGGCTCACAGGCGGGACCCCCTTCCCTGGGGCCTGATGGGGCTCGCACTCTCAGTGGCCGAGACGTCCTCCATGTGATGATGACGACGATGATGACGGTGATGGTGGTGATGATTGTGCTCCTGATAATGATGATGATGATGGTGCTGATAATGATTATGATGATGATGCTGATGCTGATGCTGATGATGATGATGATGATGATGATGATGATGATGATGATGATGATGATGATGATGTTGAGGATGATTATGATGATGTGATGATGATGACGATTATGCTGATGGTGATCAGGATGAGGATGGTCATGATGATCATGATGAGGATGAGGATGAGGATGAGGATGAGGATGAGGATGAGGGTGATGATGATGCTGATGCTAATGATGCTGCTGATGATTTTGTTTAGTGATGACGATGACGACGATGATGTTGACGTGCGACTGTGTGCGAGAGAGGGGCTGAGGTGAGGTGAGGCCTGCGCGGGGCGCCCAGAGACAACCAGAATCCCACTCAGGACGTGGGGAAAAACGAGAGCCCAACACAGGAGGGCTGTGAATCACCCTCCGGAGGTCCGCGCGGACTTCTCTGACATGCGCTGGGCCCCCGTGGCGGCGCACGACGCGCCGCCACTGGCGCGCTCCGCACTCCAGGGGACGGGGGGGCCGGCGCCGAGGATTACAGGAATTCCGCGCGGACCTCTGACGTGTAGCATACGTCGGCGCCTCCCCGCGCCAGAAGGCGCCAGGGAGGCCAGCTGCGTGGCTGCTGTCCCCCCCCCTCCTCGTCCGGCTCGGCACAGGCCCGGGCAGGTCGTCGACGCATGTTTGGCTGAGGAGTGGCAGCCGGAGGCTGGGGCTGCCGGAGGAAGATGAGGCGGAGGAGGAGGAGGAGGAGGAGGAGGAGGACGAGGACCCCTCGGGCAGCCGGAGGCTGGGGCTGATCGACCGTCGGTCCGACGCGTACCTGAGCGACGCCTGGGACATCGCTGCCCTGGCGTCCAGCTTCTGCGTGGGCCCTGGCAGGAGGGGGAGGGAGGGCGCTTGGTCGCTCTTGGAGCGATTTCGGCTGCGGTTGCAATGGAAACCTATAGTAAGGACGGGCGGTAGGGATGCAAGGGCCTTGGACGGCGAATTTGGCACTGGTTGGGCGGCGGGCTGCCAACACCTTGTGGAGTTGGCCGGTGAGAACCGTGAAGGACGGGCCGCAAAGGCAGGGACGCAGCGGTACCCTAAGGACACCCGTGAGTCCTTACAATGAATTTTTACTTTCTGCAGATCTTCCAGGGCGCTCTCGCGCGCGCGGACAAGATCCATAAACATTCCGACCCGAGTTGCCCGTGTTCGAGTACGCTCCATTTCGAGCCACGACAGGACGCCTCGTCCACGTGGCTGGACGCTTCAGTTCCAGTCGTGCGCGTGGGACATCAGGCAGCCCGGTGGTTTCGGACCTCGCGCGATGGGAGCGCGATTGAGGGTGGAGAAATGTGCACCACTTGTGCCCTGAAGGGACCCTGGAGCATATATGTATATATATATATAGATATACACAAGACTGCAGTGGCGCTTCGCGCCACGCACCTTTGGTCCTTGAAGATTGCTACGCAGGCGGAGAAGGCAGGACGGTCAAGCGGACACTTTCACGATAACTCTTTGCTGCCTTTTCTCGCATCGCCGTTATAATAATGTTGTTCGTTTTCCTTCATCCATGCTTATTTTTCCTCATTCTCGTCATACCTTGGCCATTCTCCCCATCCTCCTCGGCTCTTTTTGCGGAGGCTCCTCCCTGGAGAGCCTCTGGGAGCCTCACCAAAGTTCTCAAGCTTTCTTAAAGCCTTCTGGAGGCCTCCTGGGCGTGTTCTGGGGGCCTCTGGGGCTTCCTAAGGCCAACCTGCCTCTAACCGCGGTCTCCCTGAACGCCCCGGTCACGATTTAGAATGCTTCGGAGGGTGTCTTGGGACCATCTTGGGCCGCCATGGGGCTCTCTTAGGGCCATTTTGGACCCCTGGTGTGCCGTTTTGGGGCTCTCTTGGACTGCCTGGAAGCCCTTCCGGATGGCTGAGGGGCGATTTTGGAGCCTCCCAGGCGATTTCGGACGCCCAGAAGACCGCTGTCTTGGAGCGTCGGGAAGCCGAAAAGAGGAGAACCCCAAATTCGCCAAAAACCTACATTAAATCAATGATTTTTCCCTTTTGGGGCCTTTTTGGGGGTGCTCTTGGAGGCCTCTTGGTACGTTTTGGAGCGATCTTTCGGGGTATGACGGCTTCTTGGAGCGCTCTTGTGCTGTCTTAAGGGTTCTCCGGGACGTCTCCGATGACCCCCCTCATCGCCCTAGGTGTGCTGCGAAGGCTTGACAAAACGCCATGCGAGGCCCGGGGGGCCGCTTCGAGGCCCGTCCGAAGGGTCCCAAAGCCCCAGATCCCGGGAGCCCGGTTTTTTTTGGGGGGGGTGATGGGTTTTCCCGCCGCCCAGGCTTATGCTAATATAGGACGATATATATATATATATATATATATATATATATATCATAGAGGGTGCCAAATAAGCCTGGCGGCTTTTTTGGCACCCTTTTGTTTCATTTACAAAGGATTGTAAATATGCATTATTATATAAATTAATATATTTATATTCGGCCAGGGTGGAATATTTATTAATTTTTTTTTTTTTATTTTGCATAATATTGCATTTTTTTTTATTTAAAAGTTTTTTTTTATTTTAATTAATTTTTTTTTGTTTTTTTTTTTATAATATCGTTAATTTTATTGCTGAATTCTTTTGTATTCCGCCACAAAGGAAATCCTTTTGCATTCCGCTACAAAAGGAAAATCTTTGTATTCGGCCACAAAGGGAATCCCTTTGTATTCCGCCACAACGGAAATCTTTTTGTATTCCACCACAAAAGGAATTCCTTTGTATCCCCCCACACAAGGAATCCCTTTGCATTCCGCTGCAAAAGGGATTCCTCTGTATTCGGCCACAAAGGAAATCCCTTTCTTTTCCGCCACAATGGAAATCCTTTTGTATTCCGCCGCAAAATGAATTCCTTTGTATTCCGCCACAAAAAGAATCCCTTTGTATTCCACTACAGATGGGATTCCTTTGTATTCCGCCACAAAAGGGAATCCGATTGACATTAATATACTGATTGAAAACCATGGCCGGGCACAGCTATCACAGCATTTTTATTTATATATTAAAAACATTAAGAAAACCATAGCCAGGCACAGCTATCACAGCATTTTTAATCAAAGATATTGGGAATACCATAGCCAGGCACAGCTATCACAGCTTTTTCAAAATGATTTCCCAATTATGGAAGTTAATTTCAATGAAACGCTGTGAAACATGGTTTTCTTTGATTTTCGCATGAAAAATATAAGGAAACCTTGTGTTTTCACAGCGTTTGATTGAAATGAACCTCCATAGCTTGAAAATCATTATAACAAGCTGTGATAGCTGTGTCTGGCCATGATTTTTCAATATTTTTAATTAGAAATGGTGTGGTAGCTGTGCCTGGCAATGAAGAGGCAATATTTTTCTTGCACAAAAATAGCTGTGATAGCTGTGCCTGGCCATGGTTTTCAAATAATACATTAATTTTAATAGGATTCCCTTTGTGGCCGAATACAAAGGAATTCCTTTTGTAGCGGAGCATAGAGGAATTCCTTTTGTGGCTGTATACACTAGAATTTCTTTTGTGGCGGAATACACAAGGATTCTTTTTGTGGCCGAAGACTAAAGGATTCTTTTCGCAGCGGGATGCAAAGGATTCCCTTTTGGGGCGGAATACAAAAGGATTTCTGTTGTGGCGGAATACAAAAGGATTTTTGTTGTGGCCCAATACAAAGGGAGTTCTTTTGTTGCGGAATACACAGGAATCCCTTTTGTTGCGGAATACAACAGGATTTCCGTTGTGGCGAAATACAAAAGGATCCCCTTTGTGGTGGAATACGAAAGAATTCCCTTTGTGGTGGCATACGAAGAGGTTTCTTTTGTTGCGGAATACAAACGGAGTCCCTTTGCCTCCCGCCGCTTTTCTCTCTCCTGTCTCCTCTCTCTCTCTCTCAATCGCTCTCTTTCTCTCTCTGTCTACCTCTCCTGTCTCTCTCTCTCTCTCTCTCTCTCTCTCTCTCTCTCTCTCTTTTACTACTACTACTACTACTACTACTACTACTACTACTACTACTACTACTACTACTACTACTACTACTACTACTACTACTACTACTACTACTACTACTAAGAGGGTCACAGACGCTATGAGCACCACGGAGACGGCGGAATGGAGAGCGAACCGCAGCAACCTTCATGCTGAAAATGAAACTGTGTGTGTGTTTTCCTCGTGTTGCTCCTCTGCGGGAAATCCAAGCGCGCGGTAGCTAGCAGCTACCTTGGGTGCAGCTAGCCGCTACATTGGGAATGCTAGCGAGCAGCCAGCTTAGGGCGAGAACGAGAGAAGGGGATAGCAGGAAGTCAATATCTAAAAAACACTTCTGCCAGACAATCATAGCGGCTCACCACGCGGAGTTAAGAAAACTACAAGGTTCGACGGGCCGACGCCAGAGATACACCCGATGTCCACCACCATCGATTTCACAACATTGCTAACTGTGTTCAACTTTATTCCGTTCGGTGCAATCTGGCCTTTGAAATAATTCGCATATGACAACTCATCTACCAAAGAGCTGTCCGTGAGTGCCGCTCGTTTGAATTGACACCGCCTATCTCTGCACGTAGGAATATGAATGCGACCAAAAGCCCCTCGTGATCCAAGCACCAAACAGTTTTTGAATTCATTGCGAAACAATTTGGCCGACGGTCCTCCGATGGATTTGGTTGAGCGACCATCCACTGTAAATGCCCTCGGGCGTGCGTTAATATTATCGATGCGCCCGTCATGTGCGTCTCGCCATCCGTTCTCAGGCCAGCTCGCCAGGCAAGCCTCGCTGACAGCGCAATGCAAGTTTAGTTCGTCTGCAAGCACAACTCCCAGTTTCTTCGTGGTGCTGGTCCTCAACAGGCCGTTATCGATACAATGAACTAGATAGCTGATAGCGCTAGATGTGTGGAGCACAACGTTCTCAATTGGTAACCGGACCTCCAAACATAGCCAAGAATTCTCGCGGCAAGAATCAAGTACGTTGTCGTGAAACTTCTGGTATAATGCTTCGTCCCCTGCTATGAGCCACACGTCGCTCACTTCTGTTTTCTTCGGTTGAGGAGGTGGGATAATTGTTTTTGGATACCCGCGGTTTGAAACTAAGTTTATCGTCCTCGCTATCTGCTTCATCGTGCCACCGCCGCTTCCTGGAAGTCAATGCCAGAGATTTCGGTGCAGTTGTTTTATCTACATATGCTTTGGGGTCATACGAACCGAAATGAACATCGCTGTCCTCGTATGAAGAGGATGATGATGAATCTTTTTGGGTCTTCTCGTTTGCCACCAACATCTGAATTGCCATATGATGTTTGCCCCCATCCATACCTCTACCAAGGATATTGATAATGCCAATACTTAGTTGACATCGGCACAAAAACTGGCTGTTGATAAGCTTGAGAACCAGAGCCGCCACCAAACGATTGACTTAGGGCGCGCGCAGCATCTGGGAACAAGCTTTTCCAAATCCCAACCACTCCTCCTCCTTGTTTTTATTGCATCGTGAAGTTGTGCTTTGCTTTCATATCTTCCCACAAAGCGTCTCCAACCGAAGCCCAATCTGTAGATCTATTGATAGCATCTGGCGCCGGTCCCGCTGTGCCGATGATGCGGCGCAATTCCCCCATGGCGACTCTCAAAGAGGCTATCTTGTGCCACCACTGCTACGGATGATATGGCGGCAATACAAGAGCAATTGGAGTTGCGGCAACATAATAATAAGCAATATATGCTGATACTATGTGTAGTGATGGCAACGTGTATGAATGATGATATTGGTTATGATGAATGGTGAAATAATAATAATCAACATATTGCGATTATCTGCGTAGCGATGGCAATGTGTGTGACTAGTGGTATTGATTATGAT